CCAATGCAACAGTGTTCCTTAAAGTCTTTATGTCCTTTGGATTTAAAGCTTATTGCCTTAGGGAATAAAGAAAGTGAAACGCTTCTTGGAAGAAGATTTCCTAAAAAGGAAATTTTCCAAAAATCAGCGGTGAATGGGTGAGAGTTTTTTTTTTCTATTTAACAGATATTTAAATAAAACAAATTAAAATTAATATATACAGTATGGAAAGTTCAAAATCAGAATATTATTTCTATCTATTTATATATATACAATTATTATTTAATTTCCAATTTTGAACTTTTCATACTGTATATGTAAATAAATAAACCTGTGGATCTGTAGTGTAGTGGTTAACACTCCATAGGTCAAATCACAAGATACCAGTTCAACCCCCATGTGAGGGCAGTTAAATAAAAATTAATATAGTATCTGGTATTATAACCTGTTAAGCACTGTTTTTCATAAAAAGCCATTTCACACGCTGATCTAATAGACATTGAGATTGTGATTTTCAGAAAAATACATTGTGGTGCAATGATCATCTGGTTGGTATTACTATGATCATTGTCAAGTTTGATACAATCCCAGTTCCATAAATAGGCCATTTCCCTTTTCTATAGTCCACGAGACTATAAAAGAAATATAATATAGAGAGTCACAAACTAAAAACTTTTTAGCAAGACTTTCTAATATGATCCCCCCTTCCACAAGAGTGACGACTCGCCAGCAATACCCACCATTCTTATCTGTAGTGAAGGTACTTAGTTGGTAACGATTGCTAGAATGGAAGACTCCCTTTAAGACTTAGCTTGACTTTGAAAAAGTTGTGCCCTCTTAAATAAGCAGCTTATGCTTGAAGCCCGGCATTATCTAAAAAGGATTGCATCGTCAACCCTGGTTTAAAGGTATTGAAACAACCCCTGGACATAAGGTTCCAACCGTTTTTTCAAATGGTAATCCTCAAGGCCATGTGTGCTAAAAAGAAAATCAGAAAAAGACAGAGACATAGTATTCTGATGAGTAATTTGTATGATGTTAAATAACTTTATTGAAAGGTTTACAAATTTGAGGCTGAAAGATGTAAAAGAAAATCTTAGGTGACAGGTTGCACCCAAATGGTTTACGCCTGTGGGTGGATTTTAGTATATATAGGCATTTAGGATAAATTAACTTTGTATATATCTTGTATGTAATGACCTATCTATTAATAAAAAAATGTGGACTAGAATACAATCTCACTTTAGCAGTAAATATAAATAAAGATATATATATATATGTAAATAATATAATTAAATTAAATTATAATTTAATATTTACTTTTTACTATTGCAAAATATTTGTTTTTTCTAAAACAATTGATGTTTTTAAATATTGTTTTAATTAATTTTCTTTTTTAATATTTTTTCATCAATAAATATGAATTATAAATTTATTATCTTTTTGATAGTTTTCTAAATTAAGATTTTTTTCATATTTGGATATATATTTATTATTATATATTAGTTATTTTTTTATATACTAAATTGATAAATTCTTTTTTCTATTTATTTACTTTATAATATATAAGTTTAAAAAGTGAATCAAGAATTTTAATAAAAATTAATAATATTATAAAATAATTAAATTTAAAAAAATTTAAATATATTCACATATGGCAAGCTATCGAATTGTTATATGAAATCACAGACAAAATTTTCTCCATCTCAATCTCTACCAACTGGATTAAGACAACAACAGAATCTTTAACCCTGTTGCATGACCTAATTTGAAAACCACATTGCTTCACAGCTAACACTTTACCTCTTATTGGAATCAAGTGGAACTATGCTAAGTCACATAATTCAATTAACTCCACCAATCCAGAAACCAAAAAAACCTCGCAAACCAAAGACAACTCCAACAATCCGCAAGAAAACATTATTATTGACCTATCTTCTACTGTTGCTAATTTATTCATCCAATCTAAATATAACTACTTCAAATGTATTTATATCTTAACAACTCTATCTGCTGATATTAACTCGATTTTCTCCGATGCTAAGTAGGTATTCATAGCTGCTCAGTGCCATCCGGCAAGATATATTGTTTTAAACTTTCTTTTCAATATTAGTCATATGGTTACTGTAGGCAAGCTAGCATTTTACTTATTGTATTAACACATGAGAGATGTTGTTTCTTTCACGATATATACTATGCTATATACAAATCAAATAAAGAAATAATGTTTACCTATAAAAAAAAAATAATAATAATTTAGCAAAAATATATATAAATTTAACAAGGTTATATAATTTATATAGTTCTGAAAATTGAAATCAAACAGAATTACAGGGAATCGCATAAGATTAGGAACACTATTAAAAATGATGGTGGGGTATATCCCACTTATTAAATTTAATATAAACTTGAGAATCAAATACAGAATCGAAGAGAATCATTAGGATCCTTAATAATTTGGCAAAGTAATATAATTTAGTAATATATATATTTAATAATATAATATAATTAATCAAAAGTAATATAATTTGTCAAAGTAATATAATTTAGCAAAATTAATATATTTGATGCAAAAAATAAATTATCTTTTTTATTGTCGAAATATTAATTTCTGACAAAATAAGGTTTAAAAAAAAATGTACTATTTATGTGTCAAATAAATTATACATCCCTTTATAGCCAAAGATAAAAGCTATATAAATTTGATTGATTAGCTAAATTATATATATTTTTTAATGAATGATTGATAAGTGGCATTATGCTGAATAAATCAATTTCAACTAGTGTTAACAAAGTTATATTAACAAGTTGTAGGAAACCAAAGATAAAACAATAAGCAGATTCAAGAGTTTTCTTGAAGATATGACTTTTTTTTCTATATATTTCATAGTTAATTTTAGTTTTAATTCCTTTTATTTTTTATTTTTTAAATCTCTTTTTGATATTAGTTAGACTAGAATTTAAATATATACGTTATTAAATAAAGTATTTATAAACAAGATCCTATAAATAAAAGTTATAAAATATTATATTTTAGTTTAATTACATTAAAAAAATTTTTAATTTTAATATAAATAATAATAATTAAAATATAATGTAATAAAACTATTAATAAAATAAATTAATTTTACAATAAATATTCATAATTAAAGCAAGAGTTTTAATCAATATATAAACAAATAATTTTGTCGTAATAAATATAGAATCTTAAGAATCCAAACTAAATACGCTTATTCCCATGATTAGAATTTTGTAACTTTGTAGAATAACATTATTACATTATACCTAGATTCTTTTTATGAATAGATGACCGAATAAATTTTTTACAGAAATTGCAGTATTTTAAGATTTTTTAATTTTAACGATTTAAAATTTAATAGAAGTATTTATGATTTATCAAATTTTTTCGGTTTCTTGATTCAACATTTAATAGACTAAGCAATGTTTGTTTTATTTTGATTTAATTTTATTAGCAATGAATCTATTTAATATACATCATCAATTCTATTTTTATATTACAACATAATTTTTTTGAAAGTTAAATACTATTGTTTTTTTTTGCATAGCATAGTGATGAAAATTTCTTAATATTTTAAAAGAAGCGTCTTAAATATATATACTGTATATAGTGGATGTTGTCCTTATAAATAATAAATAATACTTAATTATAATAGCATGGGATAAATCTTATATTAAAATATGTGATTTGACTACTGTAAAAAGCTTATGATATTTCTTAGAAATAATAAGAATTATTGGAATCTAGTGATGTTGATGAATCGTCCAATAAACTAGAGGAAATTAATTGATTGTTGTAGAGATCGTTCGAGAAAATTTCTGTGTTTAAATACTCTGGATTAAAGATTCCGAGTTGGTTATTAAAGACAGTCGTTAAAGGATTATCCTTAATATTAGCTAAAGAATCAATGAGCAGTTGTTCTTCGATTTGGATTGGCGAATTGATCAAGCTATCAAAGAGTTGATGTTCTTCGATTTGGACCGGTGAATTAACTAAGGTATCGATGAATTGTTCCTCGGTTAGAGTTGGTGAATTAAAATTATCAAAGGTTTGTAGTGGAGAATTAATTTCAAGATTAAAATTATATTCATCAATTTCGGGTGAGCTACTTTCACCATCACTATATGCTGATAAATCCGGACTGGGATATAAAAAACCTTCCCAATCAGCAAACATGTCTAAATCTAAGATTGGCGAATTTTCAGCGAGTTCAGATAAAGAAGTTTCATTTTTAAGAGTAGGTGGAGATAATGTTGGTGTAGGTAATTTAGAAGTGGTACGAACTGACTTCTTAGGCTTAGCATTTCGAGCCAATTCATCATTAGGTTTATCAAATGAAATAACATTCCATTGCTTTCTTTTTCCTTCACGTTTAGGTTTAGGGCAAATCTCACTACGATATAAGAATGCTTCTTTTGCAA